TGCTGCTGTTGCTGCTGCTGGTACTCTGCCTGCTGCTGCTGCTGCTGTTACTCTTGTTGCTGCTGCTGTTGCTGTTACTGCTGCTTTTGCTGCTGCAGTTGCCTCATTAGGGGTTTGTTTTGTGTACGCTCTGAACTGCTTTTCCTGCTGCTGCTGCTGCTGCTGCTGCTGCTGCTGCTGCTGCTGTTGCAGCTGCTGTTTGCAGGGGGTGATCTGCTGCTGAGCGGGCACCGCCACGACCCCACGGTGCGCTGCTGGGACCTGAGGGCCCCCGGGGGCCCCCTCTTCCGCCTGGTGAACAGCAGCAACGCATCCAGCCCCAACAAAACCCAATTCGATGTCAAGCAGCAAACCCTCGTACTGGGTATGTTCCTGCTGCTGCTGCTCCTGCTGCTGCTGCTGCTCCTGCTGCTGCTCCTGCTGCTCCTGCTGCTGCTGCAGAGCAGCAACAAAAAGGATAGAAAAGAGAGAGAGCTGCATTTTGTTTCTCCGCAAGCAAACTGTCACATGCAGCAGCTGTCCCGATACCCAGCTAGCTAGCTAGCTAGCTAGCTAGCTGTGAAACTAAGTAGCTAACTAGCTAGCTAGCTAGCTAGCTGCATGAAGTGTGGGGTGTGTGTTGTGTGCAGGGAGCCAAGACGGCTCTCTGAGCTTCTTTAGTCTCGCCACGGGGCGTGAAGAGCGGAGCTGCTCTGCTGCTGCTGTTGCTGCTGCTGCTGCTGCTGCTGCCAGCAGCAGCAGCAGCAGCAGCAGCAGCAGCGGGGGCGGCTGGCCAGCAGCAGAATTGTTGCTGGCCCCTAAGAATAACAGCAGCAGCAGCAGCAGCAGCAGCAGCAGCAGCAGCTGGACCTTGCCGATTGCTGCTGCGCTCTGCCACCCGCAGCTGCCGCTGCTCTTCACAGCCCACTCCCAGCGGTAAACCCTAAACCCTAGAAACACAAACCCTAAACCCTAAACCCTAAACACCCTAAACCCTAACAACCCTAAAAACCTTAATTCCTACTGCGCAGTGCCTGGGGGGCAGAGACACAGACAGCTGCAGCAGCAGCAGCAGCAGCAGCAGCAGGATATGTTTCCTGCGTTTTGCTGCTGCAGTACCTTTATCCTTGGGGAGGACCCGGACGACTGCAGCAGCAGCAGCTGCAGCAACAGCAGCAGCAGCAGCAGGGGGGCAGCTTCTGCAGCAGATGCTGTTGGGGTCCGCTTTAATTGGGCCATTGGCCTCTGGTCTGCTGCTGGGGAGCTCTAAGACCCCGCAGCAGCAGCTGCTGCAGCAGCAGCTGCAGCAGCAGCAGCAGCAGCAGCAGCAGCAGCAGGAAAGCAGCAGCTGCAAAGGAGCAGCAGCAGCAGCAGCTGCTGCTGCTGCTGCAGCAGGATATTAATACTGATTGGTCGTGTAGCTAGCCGCTATAAGGAGAAGCGGGGTGGTGGGGGGCCCTGCGAATGCAAACTTTTCAGGTGTACGTACACCTCAGCAGGCCCCTTGAGGTGTACGTACACCTCAGCAGGCAGGCCTGCTCAGGTGTACGTACACCCCAGCCTGCAGGGGCGCTGCGGGTTTGTTTGCGTTTTCTTTATTTATTTATTTATTTATTTATTTATTTATTTATTTCGGTGGTGCAGCTGTTGTGGTAGCCAACGGGAATATCCTCTTTCAGGCATCAGACACCACCAGCAGCAAAAATATAAACTGCAGCAGCAGCAGCAGCAGCAGCAGCAGCAGCAGTAACAGTAGCAGCAGCAGCAGCAGCAGTAACAGCAGCAGCAGCAGCAGCAGCAGCAGCAGTAACAGTAACAGCAGCAGCAGCAGCAGCAAGTTTAGCAGCAATAGTGGATGTAGGTATGTTGGCAGCTCTTCTCAGGGCATTTGACGCTGTTGCAGCAGCACACAGCAACTCGTGCTGCTGTTCGTGTTGCTGCTGCTGCTGCTGCTGGTGTTGCTGCTGCTGTTAGTTTTGTTGTTGCTGCCGTTAGTGTTGCTGTTGCTGCTAGTGCTGCAGCTAGTGCTCCTGCAGCAGTTAGTTTAGTTGCTGCTACTAGTGTTGATGCTGCAGCTAGCTTTGCTGCTCCTGCTGGGGTTGCTGCTGCTGCTAGTTGTGCTGCTGCTGCAGCTAGGTACTGTTGTTGCTGTTCGTGTTGCTGCTGCTGCTGCTGCAGCTAGCGTTGCTGCTCATAGAGCTGCTCGTGTTCCTGCTGCTGCTTGTTTTGCTGCTGCTGCTGCTGCTGCCGCTAGTCTCTAGATGAGTGAGGCCGGGGCGTGCTTGGTGTCCAAGCTGCAGCAGCAGCAGCAGCAGCAGCAGGCAGCAGCAGCAGCAGCAGGCAGCAGCAGCAGCAGCAAAGGAAGAGAC